AGCAAGCAGGACTGACCTAGGGTGAATTTTAAATAGGGATAATTTTTAATGATTTTAATAATGTCACAGCTACAAATATTCGGTTTTAATTGGCTTTTATAGGGGAAATGTTGTGTGTGTTGTTTGTATTGTGTTATTTTAATATGCTGTGAGCCGCCCTGAGTCCCGTGGGGAGAAGGGCGGCATATAAATTATGAAATAAATCTTAAACGTACCTCGGCCTTCCGCAAATCGGAGGCTTTATTCATCTCTTTCCATCCTTCTACGATGGGGAGGAAGGTTTCTTCTTCCACCATCGGACGGTGGATTAGGGCCTGTATCACGAAGGCGTACGTTTCGCAGTCCCTTCCAGTTCCTTCTCAGGTCACGGCTCATTCTACGCGCAGCGCTGCGGTCTCTGCAGCCTGGTCTACCCAGGCCTCGCTTGAAGAGATTTGCAGGGCGGCGACTTGGTCGTCCCCCTCTTCCTTCATTAAACATTATAGGATTGATAGGTTTGCTGCTGCAGATGCGGCCTTTGGGAGGCGGGTTCTGCAGCAAGTTGTTACTCCTCATGATAAGCAAGCCTAGACTTCCCTCCCTTCAGGGACATGAGCGGCTTTGGTATGTCCCATTCTGTGGACTCTACACCATCCCTGCTGGAGAAAGGGGCGTTGGCTTACCTGAACGCCTTTTCTCAGCAGGATGGTGTAGAGTCCACATCCCCCCCTGTATCTCTTTAGTCTAGGCATGAGTTTTTGCCTTTTTTTCTTTTGCACTTTTGTTTGGAGCCTTGCGTCTGGATTCTTCGCCTCGACATGTACCAAAAACTGGGGAGACACACCCAGAGAGAGGCGTGGCAAAGTTTTTTTGTCTTAGTCTGAGCAGGAAGACTGAATTTAACCCATTCTGTGGACTCTACACCATCCTGCTGAGAAAAGACGTTCAGGTAAGCCAACGCCCCTTTTAAATCATTGATCTTATCTCCAAAATTCTTCTGTGGAAGATTTTTTACCATCAAAGCGTGTTAAATTCTAAAAAAACAAAAGGCAACTGATTATAGACGTGATGGTAATAAGGATGGACTGTAAGTCTAGAAAGGTATATAGAAATATAGTAAATGGTATTGATATAAACTAATTATAGCTGTTTCCTTTTCTTTTTTCTATCTCTTGTCTTTAATTTCTTTGGCCTACTACTTCATATTTCCTTTCTGCACTGTGCATAAAGTTGCTAACCCTAAAAGAAAATAGTAAGATGGCTATATAAGACACACTGTGCCCTCTTTTTTCCCTTGGCAAAAGGGAGGAAAAAAGGCGTATCAAACATTAACATATAAACTTAGATACCACAATGCTCATGCAGATGATCACTGAAAGTACTGTTTCCTGCAAGTAATTCTACTTAGAAGATAACTATAATTGAGAGTGCCCCATTTGACTCATGATTTGGCTCTGAAGTGAGATTCATGTCCTCCATTGACTAGCAGGGGAAAGCAGAAATGGCTACAACTCTTTAAAAAATATTAACAGTATACAATTAAAGTTATAGGCAAAGTAAAACTATTCCAGCATACAAAGGGAAGGTTTCCCCACTTAAATTTGAGATGTTAAAAAAAATCAACCTCTCCATTGTTTGGTGAACAACTCAAGAAAAATGCAGATATTACAGAGATTCATTTTGGCACAACTTGTATAATTTCAAAAAAGTGCATAAGCTTTGAAGCTAGGTTTCTTTAAATTCTGATCAAATTCAGTTCAGTTTGAGATACTTTGTGGGGTTCCTGTTTTGCCTCAGTGAGAATAGGAATTAGAACTCAATAATTGAATTTGATTCAGCCACAGTAATGCATATCCCTAGTGAATATTTTTGAAACTAGGTTTAACCACTGACGTTTTCTCCCAAAAATTAGAAATTAGATTTTGCAGGACATTAGGATTTCTTTGTAAGCAATGGATAGCTATTTCATAGAAGAAAAATGTTCAGGTTTCATTGATAGAAACCTTAGCAGAATAGGTTTAAAAACATAACTGCAGCTTTCTAGCTTTACCGTTTGTGCCCCTTTCCATTCCTTCCATATGGGAAATGTTTCAAAGGCCGCAGCTGAGAGGTCTCCAGGAGTTCTTGTGATGGGCATTCTATAGGCAGCTTCTCTGGCACTTCAGGGTCAACCTTCTCTCTTTCATACCCTTCAAATATTTTGCATTTCTCATGCTCGTCCTTCTTCACCAGTTGCATCCTCCTTTCCATGCGTTCAATTCGAGCAAGGAGCTAAGAACACAACATTGCAATTTGGCATTAAAGGAGTATTCCATTAACTAAATACGAGGTTCCTAGTAATTAAAACTCACTCTACTTTGACATTAGATGGAAATAAAGTGTAAGTTCTATACAAGCTGTGCTATTTTCATATTGCTAAGCCTGCAGTGCTTACCAGTATACTGTTAATGATTTGTTTAAATAAATTCTCGACAAGACTGACACCATTTGGATTTACTGTGAATAAAAAGATTCTACATTATCACCCTTTTTCAGCTAAATGACCAGCAACAGTAATCCTTTCTACAATGAATATACACACTATGTTTGAACTGTTGTATGCCAGTGTTATTACACTAGCCAATGATGCATCACTTTGCCAGGATACAGTTTTTGTATATAAAAAAAGAAGTCTACTTCCTTTTTATGAGGAAACACCATGGAGGTTTCTTCTAGTACATGTAAACCACCACAGAGAATAATTTTTAGAGCTGTCAGTGCTATGGATTCAAAGACAAAAAGGTCCATTGGAGCATGCAAGGGTATGCATATAGCATTTATTTGCAACTCGTTAAACCAGTGGTGGCGAACCTATGGCACGCGTGCCAGAGGCGGCACGCGGAGCCCTCTCTGTGGGCACGCGCCATCGCCCTAGCACACGTGGTCTCTAAAAGTTCGCTCCATGCGAGGGTTTGGGGCGGCAGTAGCAGGACGCTCCGTGCGGGGGTTGGGGCAACGGAAGAACGCTCTGTGCGGGGGTTGGGGCGGCGGAAGGATGCTCCGTGCAGGGGTTGGGGCTGCAGGAGAACACTCCATGCGGGGGTTGGGGCTGCGGGAGCAGAACACTCCGTGTGGGGGGGAGCAGAACGCTCCGTGCAGTAAGTAAACTTTAAAGACAGTTTTAAAAGTATGGCAGTATTCGAGAAAATCTTGCCTCTTACATGGGATCAGGTTTTTTTTCTCCACTCCCT